CCTCAAGAAAATAGTATCCCTTCCACAGGAAAAGATATGTTCCACCACCACAGTAGACCCTATAAAGAAATCACTTTAACAATGACAACAACAAATGAGTGGAGCATATACCTGGAATAGACAGAATATTGCAAGCGAGCCGGTTGAGGTTGGGGAACTGAGCCTTCCTGACTCCCCACCACTCGATAGGGTTAGTGGAGTTTGTTACGTCCTGATACGGAATACACCTGGTAAGCCGTGCGGAAGTAAGTCAATGTTTCCGGTCGGAAACACCAACGACTTGTACTGAAGGGACTTGGCTTCAACTTGTGTGTCGTCCTGCAGAGTCGTAGGTTGTCCCTACTTCAGAGTTCAAGAGTAAGATATAAGAGTGGAGCTGGGCGGGAACGAAAACCCAAGTGGAGAAGCAGACAAGAGTAGAGTTAACAGATAATACGAGATTCGATTTCTGACTGAGTAAAAGTAGATACAAATGAGCGTATTTAAATATAATTAACTGAGTGGAAAAACATTGGATAAAAAGATAATCAAAGATGAATCATAAAAATATAATTGGTGTATGATGGTGTGATGATATGCCATGCGGAACCGATGGGAAAATAACGTAAATGTTGAAGGGTCAAATACATCAGCTGAATCATAAGCGAGAATGAGCACATGGTGCAAAAGATAAAACAGATAAGAAAGATAAAAGAAATCCGGTCGGAAAACAAAGATTGAGTCAACAAGAAAATAGTGAGCATGAAGGCCGTGCGGGCGAAGTAAGCCACATGGGAAAAAGGTCTGAATGAACAAATACAAAATGAATGAGTCAAATGCATAGAACATGAATAGAAATAATAGAATTATGAGCTGGTTGGATCAGTACTTGACAGAGTTGAATTTCTTGAGCAATAGTTGAAAACTGCTTGGAAATAGCCATATTGCAGTAAGACACGGCGGTGGGAGTTGGAGGCTTGGCTAAAGTAAAATAGAACAAGGCCTGCATCAGCATGCTGCTCGTTCCATTCTGGGTTGTGGGAGTGAACCCGTATCCGTAACATCCCCGTATACGGCCATATGTGTACGGGCGCATACGACACCTCTCAGTATCGTATACGGATACAGGGATTGTGTCTGCGGAACCCTTAACGATACGTATACGGCGGCATACGGATATGGTACCGACCCCTACACGCGCATTTGCATCAACCACGGCTGGACACGTACGCGCATGCGCAGGTCTATATGCCGCCGCCGCATTCGCATTCGCAGCCACAATTGCAACAGCAGCACCAGCACCAGCACCAGCACCAGCACCAGCACCAGCACCAGCACCATCAACACCAGAATCAGAACCAACATCAGTCACATCAACAGCCACAAATACAAACACAACAGCCACCCCAGCGCACATCCCAACAGCACATGCCACAACAACAACAACAATCCTCCCAACCCCACCCCACACCACCCGTTCCAACTCCCGCTCCCAACACCGCCCCGCGCCACCCCCTATCTCCACCCACCGCGCAGCCCCTCCCCCTGCTCCCGGCCCCCCTTACCCCCCTCGCCCTGCTCCTCGCCCTCCTCGCCCCGCCCGCAAAAGCCCCTCCTCTCGTCGCCCCCAAAACGCCTCAACCACATCATCTCCGAGCAAAAACGCCGCAACGCAATCCGCGATGGCTACGCGACCCTCACGACGATGCTCGCGCCCGCCGGTGCGCCCATCGGGTCGGACATCCCCACGCGCGGTAGACCTATAGGGAGTGGGAGGCAGGGGAACGGGGGCGCGAAGGGAAGAGTGGGGTGCTGTTTCGGGCGGTGGAGCATTGTCGGTGGTTGGAGGAGGGGTTGGAGGCGTTGAGGGTGGGGGTGGACAGGGTGGAGATCTTGGCGGGGGCGGGGAAGAGGGAGTCTAAGAGCATGTGAGGGGGGTGAACGTTTCGCAGGATGGAGTTATGGGATTGCCTTATTAGGTTCGTTCTTTCATTTCTTTCCTTCGCGTCTCACTCGATCCTAACGCGTTCTTTATTCCAGCATTACCTTTACATCAACTTATTTCCTTCAATTCGAATTCGACCGTCCCATTTTTCGTCCCGCGTCGCTTTCCACCTTTCCACCCACTTCTCACCTCCACCCTCGCACATTACTTTTGCATACCACCTCGGACACACGTATTATACCCAAATACAACCCAAATCCCATCGAGGACTGTCGACGTCATGGTAATAGTTATGATTATAGTGGTATTTACCGCGAAGAAGATCTAGTAACAGGATACCAAGTAGCGAGATGCGCATCGACGCAATTTCCATTTTCATTTCAACTTTTGTATACATACATATAGCTCAACTCGAGTGCGCAGACGGGGTATCTTATGGCCGGCTTATGGCTTATTGTAATTGATTACTTGTATGATATGATAGCAGACTCCGTACCAGAATTGAAGGGGAAGAAATAAAGAATAAATAAAGATTGTGGTGATATGCGTTTGCGGGAGTGGATCGCAATGAGAACGTTTCGTTTCGGTGCCGTCGGTCCGGAGCATGCACTGAAGCGGCTAATGAGGACCGCTTAATGAAATTGTGGGCGCATCATGCCACACATTCTGTTTGCCTGCTCTGCTCTCTCGCTCCCGTGCTCTCTTCCGGTTCGTCCTTCGTTCATTAATAGATCCGGTCTTTTTTTCTATCCCACCAATCCGCGTTGTCTTTCGAAGGGGCCCATCGTTCCATCCACGTATGTTACGAATACAACATCTACCTTGATCATACCAAGCGTCATCTCCTATGCTATCGAAAAGGTACTGGTATCGTTGATGAACCAAGGGACGCTAAGTCAAGTCTTATTCTATGTTTGAATTCTACTATTGACGCGACCCCAGCCCCTTTCCTCTCCGATGTTTAACCGGTGGCAACTCCGATGACGATCCCTAGTACGTATGTATCTTGATTCTTTACCCTCTTTTCTAAGTATTCACCTCCTTCCTTCTCCTAAGTTGAACGGTCTGAACCAAGTCGTTCTCGCCCCTCAGCCGACCCTCCCTCCATCCTCCTGCCGACCCCTCCTTGACCACCCGGTCCTCAAATCCAGATCAAACAATCCCCATTCTGCAGCGGCACCGACGTCGATCATGATGGCTGGTGGGCGCGGATCCCCGGCGTGTGGGCTCGTGTGGAGAAATCAACCAAGATCAAACAGGGAGAAATTCAAAGCTGAACGGAGTAGGCTCGATCGTTGACTTTGATGGTCGACAGGTCCGCTGCCAGAGCCACTGTGGGTGCCTGTAGTAACAAGAGTTTAGGCCGAGCCTGGTCATGAGGGCCGCGTTATTGCCTTTTTTAATGTGGCCCTGGGGATGTCTGGACTCATGGCGGGCAGGGAGGCGATAGAGAGGGGGACAGGGGTGAAGTTTTGATTTTTCCTTGGAGTTATGAGTGGTGAGATATGTTGGGGTGAAGAATTAAGGTTGCATAGAGGTATGTTTGTTTAAACATTTAGTTTACTAGGGATTACTACGGAACTGAGGTCTTATGTCCTTCCCTCTTATTTTGCCAGAACTTCTCTCGTACGTGCTTTGCTATTCGCTCTTCTATTGACATGCTTCGCTTTCCTACTAGATATAAAATATTTATTATGGACTTGAACGGAAATCTGGATCGAGTCACGACGGGCAGAGAAGGGGGTAAAGAGGGAAATGTTTTAATTTTCCTACAGGTTTCTGGATGTTGTGAGATATGTTGGGTTGGGGGATTAACGTGGTATACAGGTATGGATGGTTGGACATTTATTTTTCAAGCTGTTTACCTGGGCTCAGGCTTACTACGGAACTGAGGTCTTGAACGGAAGTCTGGATCGACTCACGACGGCCAGAGAAGGAGGAAATTGTTTTAATCCCTCCTCAAGTTTCTGGGTGTTGTGAGATATGTTGGGTTGGGGAATTAACGTGGTAAATATACAGGTATTATACGTCCGCTTAAGAAATATTTTATTTTTCTGTTGTTCGCCCGGGCTCAGGATTATAACGGAATAAGGTCTTATGCACATACTTCCCTCTCCTTTCGTCCTTCGGAACCTCTCTCGTACGTGCTTCGCTCTTATATCTATACCCTCTCTCTTCTAGCCTCTTCGAACTGCTGGCAGGAACATGTATCTAAAATTTAGAATCTATTGTCTGATCCATTCCGATCCATCAACTAAAGAAATAAAACACTTATGATAGACTTGAAGCATCCTCTTTTTATAGTTTGGATCCTACGCTCTGTCTCCTTTTCCTTAGCCTCTTCTTCTTACATCTATCTGTGTTTCTACCTTCAATCCACCTCTCGTCTTCCATCCAATCCACTTAACCACGTATATGCGCGTATATTCAAAACTTGTTATTCCATTCAACATGTTAATGTTGTATACAGACATATCTGCATAGGAATTCTTTCTTAAGGTGATTCCCAAGATTTTATATTATTGAAATATGATCTTATATCTTTCCTTCCCTCCCCCTTTGAAACCTTTATCGTATATCATTCACTCTCCACTTCCAACCGCGAGTGCCTCTCTTAAAAATAGTGATTCCATCCCTTCCGATGCATCGAAATCTACCGAAATAAATACTTGAGATGATGTACCGTCTCTTTGTCATCTACACGCAACCTCTGTCTCCCTTTTCTTGTTTCTTTATTTTTCTCCATCTCACATATCTAGGACAAGACGAAGAAAGGTCACAAAAGAAAAGTAAAGGAGAAAATTAGAGGGAAATTGTGGAATTCTTTAGATGAAGAGCGTGATCTTTGTTCGAGGAGGAAGAACTTGTAGTGATGAACTTTTCTTCGTTTTCTATTGCTATTTTTCTACAATCTGATCCCAAGTCTTTGGTTCACCCTCTAAATCCCAACACCGAAAGTCCCATCAACACAACACTTTTCCCTAATTAGTAATAATGACATCGTTAAGTATCGTGAGTTTTTCACACCTTAGTCCGCTGCCCAGTGATTTTGATAGTTAAAATTATAATAGATAATCCCTCAAGCGGGGAATTGAACACTGGTCTCACGCAACCTTGAGTTACGGCTCATGACAGACACAAATACTAACCACTATACCATCAAAGATAAGAGTTATTCCTATAAATGCTTTATCCTGTCCTTTGCAATTGGGAGCCATGCTGGTTTTTTTCCTCCCACTGCCCATAGGTTGGATATCTCTTTTTTTTTATAGCCTTTATAGTTAGTTCTAGTCCTGGAATGCGCATGGATTTTAAAGCATTTGCCATTTAGTAAAATCTTGACATCAGAGGCAAAATCATGATGGAAACATTTTGAAATATATATATAGTAAATCATGGCAAGATATCCAACATATATTCTGAATTCATAATAGTGATACATTATACTTTCCATTCCTCCCAGGGAATATAGTTACTAAAATCAAGAACTATTTCATGTGCACCAATAACAAATTGAGTTGAGGGAGTGCGAAAGCCAGGCCAAAGAATATTTGGTACCCATGCAATTGGAGCTTTAGAAAATGCATCAAGAATCCATCCTGACTTTGCATCCCATGTCCAAGTTGTGATAGGTACTTTTGTATATAAGATTGGAATTAATTCTTGTACAGGATAAGAAAGTAACTGAGTCTACTATACCTTGATGACCTTCTAGAGATTGTTCTATATTTTGCCCAGTTAATTTCCATACCCGAATTGTTCCATCATATGAACTAGAGACAATTTTTGTCCCATCAGGTGAGAATACAGCTGAGGTCACCCAACCTTGATGGCCTTCAAGAGGATCTCCCAGACTCTGACCAGTAGATATTTTCCATATGTAGACTATTCCTTCAAATGACCCAGTGACAATCTTTGTACCATCAGGTGAGAATGCAACTGAAGTTACACCTTCTTGATGATGAAAGGGCTGTCCCAGACCCTGACCAGTGGATATATCCCATATTATGACTGTCTTGTCATGTGAACCAGAGGCAATCTTTGTTCCATCTGGTGAAATAGCTATTGAGCTCACAAAATCTTGATGACCTTCAAGAAATCCCAGACTCTGGCCAGTGAATGCATCCCATACTCTAACTATACCATCAGATGAACCAGAGACAATCTTTGTTCCATCATTTGAAAATGCAACAGATTCTACAGAATTCTGATGACCTTCAAGGGGCTGTTTTAGGCTTTGACCAGTGGATGCATTCCATATTCGCACTGTCTTGTCATCTGAACCTGATACAATTTTTGTCCCATCAGGTGAGAAGATAACAGAGTTTACTGACTCTTTATGACCTTCCAGGGATAGTTTCAGGTTCCACCCAGTAGATTCCACCCAAACTTTAACTGACCCATCATATGAACCAGAAACAAGCTTTTCCCCATCAGGTGAGAGTGCAACTGAGTTCACCAAACTCTGATGACCTTTAAGAGGTTGTCCCAGCTTCTGGCCAGTATATGCATCCCAGACTTGAATACTGCTATCTAAACTGGACACAATTTTCATCCCAT